GTATAGGTCACACCATCAACCCCTGCTGTCAGCTCTCATATGCACTTCGAATGGCAGACTCCCTCATACACAAAGCATTGCCCAATAGCCTACTACAACCTGCTCACATCTCTCAATCGGTACCACGAGGACTAGAGGCCCTTCTTTACTGAACATTGAGAATCACTTGAAACAACAGGCGCCCTCCAGGTTCCTGATCACTGCCCGCGGTCTGCTACCTCCGCTGCTTCTTCAGCCCCCCCTTCCGAATCTCTGCCATGGCCTTCTTGCCCTTCTCCTGCTGCACCTTAGCCCCGCGGGTCTGTACAGCTCAGCCGTTACCGACACCAAACGATTCCTTCCTCTTTGCGGGGTTTGACGCTGTGGCCCCGAAAGCCGATGGGTCCTCCGGCAACGCCGGTGGGGTTTCCTTGCTGCGTGGACGCTTGATGCAAGCAGGCGCCACCATGGCCACAGTTTCTTGGCTCTCCCGAACCTTAGCCGAGGGTTGCCTCATGCGCGTGGGCCGCCCCCCGGCATCCAATGCCCCTACAATAAGTGAGAGTGATTCAGAAATTAATTTTTATGTGTAGTCGTAATTTATTGCCTTGTTGTTAGTAAGTTCCGTGTGTAGTCGTAATTTATTGTCCTGTTGAAGCTACAATTTACCTTTGTCATGTTTTCCGGTCACCAGGACCTTGCGGCGCCCAGTTGGTTGAGGCACGGACTTGCTGTGGACCTTCTGGCTCTTGCTTCTGCCGTACTCCTCGAGCAGGACTTTGCCCCCCGTCCCCTCGTCATCCTCCCCTCCCTCATCCTCCCCTCCCTCGTCCTCCCCTCCCTCATCCTCCCCTCCCTCGTCCTCCCCACCCTCATCCTCCCCGCCCTCATCCTCCGCGCACTCGCCCTCGTCTTCCCTGCCCTCGCCCTCGTCCTCCCCGCTGTAGTCCCCATCATCTCCCTCATCCCCATCCTGGCGGCTGCTCTTCTGGCCGAGGGGCTCCTGCTGCGTCTCCATAACGTTGGCCTGGCCTGGGGGGTTGTACATTTTGTTGTGAAGTTAGGAAGGGATACAAGCAACATGATGTATTGCATGACACGGAAGTTTCAAGTAGTTAATGTACATGACCTTCATGTCTGAACTTAGTAACACCGCGTGGGTATTTAGCTTNTACTGAGCAGTGGCGTTCACTTACCCTCAGTTGCAGCCGTGTGGTTGCTCTTCTTGCGTTCCTGACCTGCAAAAGAGAACACGGAGGCACAGATTGCAAGTGAGGTTGAGGTCGTCTTGAGGTTGAGGAAACGTCCACGTTTTTTCTTTGCATGCATTACCTGCTGGCTGAGTGCTGACCTCGACATGGGCAGTCACCCACTCCTTAAAGAGCTTGGTCGCACTGACGGCGTCCATGGTCGCCACGGTCTCGAGCTTAGCCTTGTCTGCAGTCGTCAGTCTGATGGCCTTGAAGAAGTCCGACTTCTTCTTCTCTGCATGCATCGGCATCCGAAACGTGGGTTACTCAAAACTAACGTAAAGATCAGCACTGTGGGAGTGTGAGGTGTAACACACAGTTTGATTGAATATCGTTTGGTTTCCGAAACATCACCCTTTCTACCTGACTGATGGTTTGCCATCGCGTTCTGCAGCTTCGCCTTCAAGGCGTCATAGACAGCGTCGTACGTAGCCTTGTCTTCCTGCTGAACCTTAGAGAGGCTGTCTCCAGTCAGTGACCGGAAGAGCGCCGCCATCCACCGCTTCCCCAACTTCTTAAGGTCAACAACGTCGGTTGTGTCCTTCACTGCGCCCTTAAGCTTGTCCTTCTTCGCCAATGCGGACGACAGGGTGTCCCAGGTAACCCCAAGGATAAGGAACCTGAAAATGTGCCAGCGTTATGTGATCTTGCGCAGAAAAGTACCCATGTCTACTACATCAATCTATGTTGTACCTACCCGCACGTGTACCACTTGTTTATCTTGATGGCGTCGGGCTTCACAACCTTCTTAACGACCACCTGGTACTTCAATGGTATGGTGGAGGACAAGTGCTTGGCCACTTGCTTGGTTGTGGAAGGCTCAGTTACAGATGAAGCGTTACTGCATGACATGTCAGTGAGAACGGAATGAATGGCAAGTGTTGAAATAACATCGTGACAGAGT